AGCAAAGGAACTAGAGTTGAAAGGAAGGCAACACACATCCCTTTATGGAGCAAGTGTCTTGCCCAATGAAAAAACCCTTTTGTCATTCCAAACGGAGACTAGATCTACTATACTGGGCTGAAATCATCTGGAGAAAGGCAATTGTAATCTTTCATCCAGTGTACATGGCAAATCTAGGCAAGAGGTGGGAAAAACATTTTGTTTTCTTCTTGTGATGCCACAGAAACACTATCATGACATAGAAGAATGATTTAAGATTGTAATGATACAGATGAAGTGGAATGTTGCTAATAAGAAGATCTATTGCCATAAATAGAGGAGTTCCAGTACAGGGGTAGACAATAGACTGTGCTAGTTGATTAAGAAATGAAGACAAGTCGAAGTTATTTAGTACCCCGCAGATGCGGCCGTCCTTTTTAATGTGGTACATAATGTTGGACATACTGATGTTGTGATGAAGAATTTTAGAACACTTATAAAGCCAGTTATGACCTATTTAACAAAAGGTAAAAATTAGTATTGAGAGTGAATAAAAGAGAACCCACCAATACACATTAAATCACATCAGCAAATATCTGTGCAATGTCTTGCATACTGGTTAGGGTTTTCACTAGAGGGTTAGGGTTGACGGGATGTGGTGGGCACAAGCACGCGCCTAGATTTTGTTATCTTAAGCAGCATAAACCTGGGTGATGTCTATCTTTAAGAAAATACCATTGCACATGCATAGAACAATTAAAAATTGTGTTAGATATTTGAGTTATCAGATATCAGACCTGACCAGGTTGACAGAACCAACTGTCTTGGGCACTATGACTGTGGATAGAGATCAAGATTGGCATGAAAAGTCAGCATAAGTAATAGTGAGTACGGCTTTGCCTGCCAAATCGATAGCCCTATTTGGCCTTATTTACTTCATGATTTTGTGACAAATTCAGTGTAGCCTCAGTGAAGGTCCAACACAGCAGCATATCTACATCTTTAGTAGACAAAAATTGTGCAGAAATATATCTAAAATGCAGCCTTGAGAGCAGAATTTTGTCTTTTTCTGTGGTTAGATCAGTGTCAGCATTACCAAATTTTTAATATAAATTTCTGAGAATTCTGTTCATAGGGCTGCATTTAAATATATCCTCAGAGTTGAATATAACTTGTTTTTAATGTATTAAGTAACTGTGCATAGTACTACTGAGGTCACAAGTTGTTGCAAATGATGCACAATTAGTGTCCGATTAAGTGTTGATCAGTTGTGTCAATAAATTTGGACATCGGTTCATGGCCTCCACAGCATGCATTGCTTATTAAGCTTATGGAAAGACATGATGAGTACTCTAAGAAACTGATGACAGCTAAATATTTATAGGAAAAGCCTCATAACTCCTCAAAAGGTGAATTTGCCATGAATTTTTGTCATTTGGCAAAGGCCAAACAAGTACAAAGGGGCTATTGATCTGACAGGCAAGGCCCGTACTCAGTAATAGAAAGGTATGTGAGTTCTGTATATACCTCAACATTTGCTGACTTCAGCACACCACTAAAGTCATGGCCTGAAGGCTGGCTTATGATCTGCAGAATGTAAAGCCAGGCCATAGGCTTTCTCAAGCCGTTGTCACGGCCTGACCTGACTCTGGCTTAAACATGGCTGGCCTGACTTTAAGCCAGAGCCAGCAGAACACTAGTTGAATAAATGTCTGAATGGGAATATTATTACGGCCAACATGGTGGTCAAGAGCAAAGAGGCCATCATGAGTGCACCCTTAAGCCGTATCCAAGTCTTGGGTCTATTGCATCTTTCCACAGTTTCTGCATAAGCCGTTATCTTTCTTCTTTGACATGTCATTCATTGCTGCTGCATTTGCCTGCTCAATAGCAACCTTCCTCTGCTCCTCATTAATGTGCAATTCTTTTTTTCTAAGGCACTTCATCACCTTCTCCACAATGAGTTTCTCATCACTCTCCAGTGCATTGTGTATAACGTAAAGATCACTATTCATGGCATGCAGGAGTACAGCAAGCAAAAGGCTGTTCACCGTAAAAGTACTGACATCAAAGATCTGCTTGTAAATGTCTTTGATTTGTATTGTCATTGATTGTATCTTGAAGTTGCAGAAGATGTATAGGCTGAGTGTGTTGTTAAGAAGAAAGATCTGACTCTGGGCCTTCTTTCTTTGCCTGTTTTAAAGCTTATCCCAAATGTTCTTAGACGTAGCACAGCTTTAGTTGATTAGGTATTCATGTTTGACATTTGAGATTGCAAGACATATATATGCCTACATCATGTGATTGTTAAAGATCCATATCTTTTGCTGAGATGTGTTAGTGTCAGGATGCTTGGAGATTGTACCAAGCACATATCCGTTGTAGCCACTCATAATTATGCCAACGGTAATCTTTGATGTTCATTACTTGTAATTCTTTTGCGCAGGATTGAGTTCTTTGATATTTGGCAGTTGTTTTAAGCAAAGGTGTTCTAAAGGCATTAGGGAGATAAATGATTAAGGTAGAGGGTGTGGGAACCCCGCACCTTTACTAAGCAGCTTGTGACACTTTTTATGGGCGCGATGGCGGGCACCAGACTGGCTATCTAAAACATAGAAATGGTACATACCAATTATGTTTTGAGTTCCCATATTGCAGATTTGCTCTAAGATGTCTGAAAAGAAAGTTATAAGGGGAAAAAATGATATTGTCAGAGAGAGCTGTTTGACAGTTTTCGACTTGATTGGTGGGGTGTTGCGAAAGGCGGTTGCGCAGATTTGGCATTGCACGTGATCATGCACATGATGCGGTCCGGACGTCCAATGGGTCTCTGCCAACCCATTTTCCGACACTGTTGCGCTCATTCTGGCCATAATTCCGACTTCTATTCGCATCTAACTATTGTGATTTCTATCCCAAATATTACTGTGAGCTTAATTTTATAGAGATGTACTGGGGTGCCGCAAAGTACAAGTACCGAAATACATCACGGACTTCGAATATCGATGAGATGGAAGCTAATGTTAAGCATTGTCTTGATGCGGTTTCCCATCTCCACATTGTTTGGTAAGTGCCTGATTTTGTCCATGATTTGTACCTGATCTTCTCTTAAGGTTCGCAAACTGGGCTGCTCGATTCATATCTGCCTATGCAGGGGGATTGACTGGGACCCAACTTGGCTATGTGAAAACTAGATACAAGGGTCATAGAATGCTATCCCCTACTGCTATTAAGGAGATTTTAGCTTCTATTACTTAGATACTGTGATATATACATGTCGGGACCCCCAAAACACTGTGGCGCAATTTCTGGATTTTTTGCCAGCCCGAATTTGGCACTGTCATGTTACCGGTCACATGCTTAGTAAAGGTGCGGGTTTCCCACGCCCTCTACCTTAAAGGAATTTATAGTGATTTTGGTGTAGTGAGGGATGCACAATGTGTTTGTGTTGTATATGAAAGAAAAAATGATTGTCCTATGTCTAGAAAACCAATTCCCAGTACACTGTTGTAGGTATGCAGACTTGGCTAGCTGCGCAGACATGATAGTGGTCTTCAGACAAGGTGTACATTTGGAGCCTGTGTACCTATAACATCTGTGCTACATGCATACACCGTGGTGGATGACTAGGTGCGTACCTAGACACTGTGTAAATATATATAAGTAAATCCTATTATATGTATTGTTAGTACAGCAACCCTTTCCATAAGTAATAAGCAAAGTAAACTTGCTCCAGTACACCATGGTGGATGACTAGGAGTACACTGAACAATTGTGCATGTTGCATACTGCGCGCTTGGTTCTGATTTCCTATTTTTGGAATAGTTGCACATTGCTCTTAACTATTACAACAGCTAGCCCCCACATTCTTCTAGTTAATCTGTGTGAAAAATAAGGCAATCTTTTAGGATGAATATACAGTAGCTGGCAATAATTGCAACTGCTTCCTAAAGACTCTGCGTTAGAACATGAGGCAAAAAACATGAAGATGGAAGCAGACACACTTGGAAGGAGTTGGATAACATCTTTTTTGGAAGCAAAATATGCTGTGAGCTGTTTGTCACAACAAGAAACTTGACTAGATAACGTGGCAGTGCCTGGAGCGCTAAGCAGATTTTGCTTATAGAGAGAGGGAAACATAAAGAAAGAAATTGGGGGAGGTAGAGGAGAGGGTACTTGACAGAACAGGCCTTTTTAATAAAATAGAACTGTGGAATGCCCATGAATGCAAGCACCAGCAAAGCAGCTATGCCATAATGAAATTTGTTAGAGATTAAAAATCTTAAGGATTGTGAAATTTCAATAATTGTCAGCCCAGCACAAAGTGTAGTTGTGATGTGCAGGTAAGGTGATAAGCACATAATGTACACCTTGCGTAAAAGGCAAACCTGAACAGGAAGCATGGGTGGTAGAGAGAATGAGATGTGTTCTATGAGTGGTAGGGTGGTAGGCACATAATTGAATATTGGCATAACTTAAAAAGCGTTACAAAGCCATATTATCCTCCTAGCTAGCAGAAAATGCAGAGATTTGGTTGAGATATACAGAATATATAGCTGTGCCAAGTTTTAGAGGTATAACACATTGCATTTTGCCGTATACAATAAGAGATCAGTTGGCAGATCATTTTGGTATGAGTATTACATCCATAGACACACTTCAAATGTAAGGGTCTGATTGATATATACATAATGCATGTATAGACCAATTTCTACGCAAAACAAAAGAGGAATGAACAAGCAGCTTGCTAATTTCAATTACAAAAAATTTCCATTCATGTGAAGTGGTGTATTCTTGAAATAGAGCAGTTTATCTATTTTAAGGTGAATGTGTAACCTCAAAGAAAGCAAATTTATGAGTCTGCTGATTCCTGCGCACATAGAACAAGAATAAAGGGCAGATCAACAAAGGAAGCAGGGTAAACTAACTTAGAAATGGAGTGAGCACTCCACTGTGAAGTTAAAAGATTCTGCAGTGTGCTTTATTAAATTTTACAAAATACCATAGCTGCTTCAAAACAATGGGGACACCCAGGATTGAACTGGGGACCTCCAGAATAATCACATTGAGACTTCAGTCTGTTGCTCTCCCAACTGAGCTATGTCCCCATTACGTTGAAGTCAAGTCGGACACTCTGTCTCCGCAGATCCCTTCAGAAGGGAGAGCGTGACCCAGCCATCGTGACTTGTGACAAACGCGTCTTTCCTTCCCCCATCACCGCGCCCTCTGCCAGCACCACCATGTCCCAAGAACCCGAGGACGTCAAGCCCAAAATCAATATCCACATCCAGACTGATGGAGGCGACAGTATGTCCCCCGCTTCTTCCACCCAGGGGTCGCGTTTTTAACACCATTGCTTGGGCAGAGATAGCCGTCATGGTCAGACGAGACACGCGCTTTGCCAAAGTCTTCGCAGCGGCAGAGGTGCTTTTCGACCATTCTGCGCCACTCGTTCCCTGGCTGATGCCTTTATAGAAGAAATTTGGGAAAGAGCCAGGCGCGTAAACCCACCTCCCGGCGAGCAGTGGCGCTCGAGGCTTACTAGGCGTTAAATTGCAGGAACCTTCAAGTTCACGTACGAGGGCAAGCGTATCCAGCCGGACCAGACGCCGGCAGAGGTGCGTTGCCGTTATCCCTCCCACACGACCGCCACTAATTTACCTGCCAAGGTCGACATGGAGGACCAGGACACGATAGATGCCCATCTGGAGCAGGTGCGCTGTCGCGCTTATTCGTTATTCTGTGTACTGACGCCTTTTCTTTGCAGACGGGCGGCGGAATCCCTCCGACATTGTTGTTGTAAAACTAATCCCCCATACTATTGTATATTCATCTTCGCGATCGGGTTTTCTATATTCATTTTTGGCATATCTATCCTCCACGTTCGCGCGTCCGCAAGCCTCCCCGTCACATGTTCTTTTCCCCTGCTGCCTACCACGCCTTAATAGCACACCCCCTTTTCACATCCCTTCCGCAGTGGCACACGTCCTAATAGCACACCGTGTCGCAGATTGTTATCTTTCCGCCTCAACGCGGTTTCTCTGAAAGACAAAACCTTCCAGAGCTCATTCATATCCGGGCATTTAGACAAAGGACCCGGTCATGTGGGTTGGACCCTTTTCCAGACAAAGACACTGGCTCGGTTCGCGGCTGCGGGGTGTGCGCGTCCGAGCCTAGTGATATCTAAAGTCTGCCTCATAGATTAGAGCTCATTCGTACAGACGTAAATCGTTCATGGCCGTGTTGGGAGCGTCGATGGTGAGTATTCTTTCCGAGATTGCCGCCGATCATTGGATTCTAGCTTTTAGGCATATAGAGATAGGAATAGCAATGGAGAAGAGCAAAGTACTTTAGTTGTCGAGCGAGTGCGCTACAAAATACAACACCATGTAAAGGTTCATTCGTGATGGTAGCCTGTAAGTTGAAAACGCATAATAGGCAGAGTACAGAACCCAGAGGATATGAGTATAGCCTGATACTTTCAAAATGAAAACTGGCCTACATACTAGAAGCCTAGTAGCAATACCGGCAAGTAAGCACCTTACGAAGAGTCGGAGGTGGTAAGCAAGTTGGTAGCCGTATCGGAGGCAAGATTGAAGACATTCAGGAGACTTGGACAAGCCGCGATCAAAGTGAGCGACACTTTCGGATGTGGGGTGAGTTACCGGGAAACGGCCATCGCAAGGGCCATCCGAAAAATCGCCAAATATTCCGACTTTGCGGACACTCTGGGACGAGTGCGTCGCGGTATCTACTCGTGTGTACCAAGATCCGTCAAAGGTGAACTGATCATGATCAAAAGCACACACAACGACCCCGATAAGATAACACGCTTAGATCTAATCAGCTCTTTGACCAAAGGTGAGCCGGCTCGGATTCCCTTTGACGAGCACCACACCACTCACAAGTATAAAGAACCGCTGGGGAATCCACCCATGGCTTCCCAACGCCTCCTCGAAGATGCCATCCCACGGATACTACGCACAAAAACGCGACCTGCCTGCAATGTCCTCCTACGCTTCATCCTCCCGCACCAAAGAAGTCCTTTCTTCTCCGTACGACTGGCCGCGTCCACCACACGCGTCGTCTTTGTACGGTGCATATCCCGCGTCAGAGCAATTGTACACCCCGCGTCCATCATGCACGCGCGCATATCCTTATCCCACATACACCATCGCCACCGAAGAGCACGACTGGCATCATACCCCGCGTCCATCATACGCATCATCATCGTCCTTGTACGGCGCATATCCCACATATACCGACCCGCGTCCATCATACTCGTCATCTTTGTATGGCACATGTACCAGGACGTCGGACGAGGAAGAGGAGGAGGAGGAGGAGGCGTACAAGCCGGAGGAGCTGTCGATGAAAGAGACGGTGCGGCGGCAGTTGCAGACGGTGTCGTTCACGGTGGGGATTAAGGTGTTTCGGGCGCGCAGAAGGTTGCGCCGCGTGCTGCATCGCGGGCACGCATAGTCTTGAATCCGAGTCACGGTCATACCCATTTCTGTTGTATCATCAAAGAAACGCCTATACCACATGTATATGTTGTCTTGTATACCTATTATGTATTGCGCTTTTGGATAAAGCATATGTACTGTCTGTGCAAAGGAAAACGACGATGAAGTGGGTTTTAAAAGGTTGACAGCAGCAACTTGAACATGCCTCGAAGAACGCTAACGTGGGATCTTTTAGAGTCATCAAACAAAATAAAGACTTTCGCTACCATCGGAAAGGATGGTACTGGTGTAAGACGACATTGTTATGGCAGGAAAGGAATCGGCATCCATCAGCCTAAGTGCACAGCGCGATAAGACAAGTCCGTTTTCACCCAGCATGATAATGGCCTGCGGTAAACAGTAGAACGGGGTGCGGGGTAGTGATGATTGAAACGTTGAGTGATGGTCATTGGTCGGGAGGAAAGTACCAAGATCACGGGATCTCAGTCCGAGCTTCCCTCTTTGGACCGCCGGTTAGGGCGCAAGGGCAAGCTAAGGAAAGGATGCGGTCCGGTACTTACTTGGTAGCATACATTGGGGATGTGTCCTAATATAGTAACTCGTTGACACTTCCCCAACCCTGCGTCTCCTCTCGTTCTTTCCTTTCTCCTCCCATCCTAGCTCATTCAGCCTCGTCGGTCGCGGAGATTTTGAACCCTCCCGCATACTCCCTATGTGTTGGTTGGGTAGACTTGTGCGGTATCCATCCGGCCTTCACCAGAGTTGTCCGCTTGCTTGCTTTCTCGATCGCGTGGCTGGATTTTCGGCACGTGACCGTCCGGTTTCTTTCCATCTCGCTGGCTGCATCCACACTTTCCACTTTCCCCTTTCCAGCAAGCGGTGACCTCTCCCACAAACACCTCAGGATACATAGCTTCCTGAATTCCTTCTCCTTCCCTCACTTTTCTTTTTTCTCTCTGGACTTACAAGTGCCTGACTTAGCTTGGGGGTCCCAGGCTCATAATACTTACCCGTTAGAAGGCACGAATTCATTTGCTAGGTCTCGGGTGTCCATGGAACGTGTTGCACGCTCCTAGTGAGTCAAGTCGCGTTCAAGGCGGTAGCATTGAAACTGTTTCTAAAATCAAGTTTGTACTGAGGCCTTATCTGTTGAACGTTGTGTTTGTCTATTGAATTATCTCTTTCTAGAGCTACTTGTTCTGTCCCTGTTGCCGGGCTGCATGAAGTGTAGTTCACCTTCGCTACAATGACTTGAATCCTCACTAATAGCGCCACTAATGAACATCCCGCTGTTGACGTTGCTTATCGACCATCCTGTCTCTTCTTGATCGGCGTTCCATAGGAAATCCGTCTCCTCGCTTCTGAATCGGAAACTGTGGTAGTACCCAATTCAGCAGCCAAGCCACCTTTACCCAAAGGTGCTGTACGCAACCTGTGCATGCATTCATCATGTTCACTCCCCTTTGCCACACATTCTGTCTACATTTATAGATTTTCTCCGTTCTCGTATTCATCCAGACATCGCCTTCAACAGCGCCAGCTTCGTAAATAAACACAGCGCCTCTGATTGGTCCGCGCGAAGACCATATATAGCCGATGACTGGGGTGGTACGCAAGGACCCTGACATGTGTCGCTGATGCTACATAATGCAACCACCATCCTCTGAGGACGCCCGCAATGCTGCTCCCTCCCTCCATTTTGGCCACAGAATCTCGAATTGAGGATGAACCAGCCTCAATCTCCAACCGTCGCTGGACGGTGATGAGCATCATATTTGTGCTCTCTCTGTTTGGTATGTCTCATTACCACCCCTCAACCTGTTTCGCGCAAGTTGATGTGTGCGTCCAGCGGTATCCTTCCCCGGAATATCGAAGAAATCTACGTATCTTCCCATACCAAAGGTGGTATTCTTCATTGGGAAGCATTTTGGCACAGGTATGGTCTTTTTGGTAATCTGGGGAGCTGTCTGACCACAGCTAGGTGTTATACTGTCTACCGCATTCTGTCATCTACTGCAGGACTCGTTCGCGGCTCTGACTAGCCCCGAAGTGTCGCAAGAATATGGATTCATCATTGGGAAGCAATGCGGCTTCATAATGTGTGTACATATCACCGCCCTTGGACACTGCTAACCGCGTTGTTATGCAGACTTGCTAGCATGTTATTGATCTTTCTTGTCGAATGTACGTTGCCTAATATCGCTTGATTCGTGCGTTTTAACCCCAGGATAGATATATCGACCTCATACGTCGACCACCTCCATGCAGAGCCCTCCGCCCCGTCATCGCCGGCTCCTACTCTACGCCGTCTACCTTCCGCGCCCAATCTCCATCACCACTGCATCACTGATTCTCCACTGCCGACACCTCTGAGTGAGCAGACACCCTTGCTGACAGAGGCATCACATACCACTCCCGCTACAATACGGCATCCGCCCCAGCATTATCTTTCCTCGTTGATGCTCAACTCGCCACGGCATTCGCGGAGCAGCGAGTCGTTCTATGTCATAAACGATCTCGTGCACCATGTTAACAATGGCGAATACCAGCTCATCGGCGGTCGGGGCGGGTGTGTCTGCGTGTGCGTCTGTCCAGCCGGCGGAGAGAATGGTACAAAACCCGGCGCCATCGCTATCCCCATGCAC